AGCGGAATTCGTCCTATCTACGGCAGGTTGTGCCTTGTTCCTCCCCCCTTTATTTTCGCTGTTGTAACCTCATCGGTACTGATGTCATCAACGTGACCGCAGTGCCCTGCCTTTGCTAAAATGGGTAGAGTAAGCGGCTACAGGCTGACGGTCCAGGTGCAGCAATAGGTGGGCGTGTGGTGTCGCGTGCGTTGCCGGTAGGGATCTGCTAGGTCGCAAGGGGCATACCCTTGACAGCGCATCGCGCATCGTTCCGCATCCTCAGAAGGGCTGCTTCTCTTTCGTAGCTGAACTACACCTTTGACTATTATGGAGCGTTCCTTCAATGGTTGTGATGATAATCATTGTACTGCAGTGGACAGATTGACACAATTTTTAGGACGAAGAGTGCGCGACTGCCAGTTTGCCATCGCCGAGACGAGTAGAGGTTGGGTGCTTCTTTACAATTCGTCCCAAACAGTGATAGAGGCTATTTGTTCCAGGAAATTGATATCCACACTGCTTGTCAACCGACTGAAAGAGCTCCGGCCGGTTTCCAAGAAGATGAAGTCAAAACTGCGTGCCTGCCTGAAGCTGTGAGCGTTTTGACTATCTCTTCAACAAGAGATCGTTTCCTCTACACGCTCCAGTCGCAGCGCTATCCTATTGCTCATTCCATTTCGTGTGCCTGTGCGTCTGTGCGTATGCGCTTTTATTCCCTACGGAATTCATGGCGCGCGCTGGCAGTGGGGTGAAAAATCCTATGTGACGCTTAACGGGGCACACGGTCGGTCATGGAAGGTAAGAATAGGTAATAAAGGCTGATTTCTCAAATCCTTCATTTTTACTGTTGTTTTTTGCACTCATGAAGGTGTACGGTTTGTAACGGGACATTGGTAGTGGATGATAGAAAGTGATAACAGCTGATAAGTGTTGGTAACGTGTCGTTAAACAGGTGTCCAATCCACTCTCACTTCCGTTCACTTTGACAGACGGGAATTTCTAATTATGAATGCTACGGTGCCGGGATAATGGCATTGATAGTGGATGGTAGAGTTAAATAAAAAATGATATAGGTGGTAAGGATACAGGATACAAGTGGTGGCGTCACCTAAATCGCTACCTCTTCGCCATTTTGCCATCACACTGACATATTATGGTGATGATGGTCACAATATTGGTGGGTAGCAATTATTGATATAGGCCCATATTACTGATACGGGCCAGTGCGTTGAGTATGACAGGATTTTCTCTGGCCAGGGTCAAGCCCGCATCGCATAAGGCGCGTTCTAAGGGCGGTCAGCTTTGATTTGTGCCGGGGTCCAGTGGGCGATATATGTGTCTGTTACCTGTCACCTAGTTAACTGTGGAAGTAACTTAAATCTTGGTTGACTAGGAATAGCTTCACAAGCATAACATTTACAGGACGAGGGTGTCAACACCGCTGTTGCTCAACAAACGCCAGTGCCTGTGAGTGGTCTTCCTTCTTTGTAACTCTGTTCCTCCGTTCCTGTTCCACACGCTTCCGACTCAAATTGTCAAGAGGACATGACAAGGTTGCTTATAAATCAACTTCGCAAATGCACGTCTGTGTCGATAAGGATCACATATCTTCACTCAGCTGTGTATAATTCATCGTTCACATGTCGGAAGCAGGGTTCACTGTCCGTTGGTAGTTTACTAAAGAGGGGCTGTATTCAAGCAATATGGAGGGTTGTGTTCCTTTTGGCTGTTAGTGATCGGTGACAGGGGACTGTTCGGTGTCCGTTCCTCCAAGAGGTGCTACTGGGAACTGCCCCCTTTCCCACTTTTTAGGGTGAACTGATCGCGGACATCCGAAAGCAGGCGACAAGCCTTCAAGACAGCCGGCCTTCGAACAACCATTTCACATCATATGTTGATGACGTTCAATGTTTCGATCGAGTCATTGCTACGGCGTCGGCGGCAGCCGAAGCGCACTCGCAAAGCGCTATCCGAGATTATGAAGAATGCGAGTATCTTGGCAGCAAGGACGCTAGATCGCTCCGCCGAAACCGAAACTAGCGAGAATCAAGTGGTGGCGGCTAGAGAAAAAGAAGCGGCCGTCAAGTCAATGAAAACATTCACCCCAAACCGACCTTGACCAATTCTTCGAGGTTTTTTAGCAAATGGAAGCCACACTCAGTGATCTATCGATAATGTGTATTTCCCCGTCAGTGTTTTGAGAATGGATAAAACTTCCAAGAGGATAAGAGCCGGTGCAATATGGGACAGGAATTGGTGGACAATTCCCAGTAGTAGACTTAGACTAACACAATACACGAATTCTTAAATTTGATGTTTTAAGACTGATCAGTGCAGAACTGCCTCCGAGCCGACCTCGAAACCGGTGAGATTTGTTAACATTCAGACCGTTCAGAAAAACTGATACTGACTAACTACGCTACAAATGCTGGTAGTGTATCACCAGAATGACTGTTACAAACCAACTCCTGCCATGACGGGACCATTTCGTCACCGACCTCTCTGCTTATGTACCAAGTTATTGTATACAGGGGGGGGGCCAAAAAAAAAGACATTTTGCCTCCACTTCCAGATGGATTTAAGCACATTTTACTCAACTCAGACCGAACGGTTCCAACTTATTATTAAAGAGTGCATTCCATTCTATAAGAAAATCTTCATAGTGGCCACGTACGTGGACGGCATCAGAAGAATTAGCCCTGGAAACATGGTGCACTGGTCGATCTCAATGGGGTCTTCGAAGGATCGTGTACCATAACGACCCTTACTGGAAAGCTAGTTCCGAGGGATTTGCACAGTGGTAGCTAATGCCTCTAGAAAACTATCCAACATTAAATCGATTCACGAAATTGCGTAAGAGCTTCAGGCTGAAGCTCTTACGGTAGACCTCCTTGAGCCTGACGACGGTGACAGATGACGTCATATTCTGAAGACGGTGAGGGCAGTGAAGGAGAGCCTGCGTACACTAATAGAGGAACACTTAGGGAATACTCTGCTGAGGAACTCCCGTCAACGACAGCAATCTCTGCGAAGAAAAAAGAGCCGAAGTCCGACATAGGCAAAATGTCTTTTTTTTTTGGCCCCCTTATGTCGAAAATGTAGAAATTTCACTACCTGAACTTTTCTGCCTTTTTTCTGGCAATCAATGTCGTCAAATCATGATTACGTTTTGTTTGACGGCATTCCACAGAGTCCATCCAAAGACATTTTTGAAAAAGCGTTCCCGTACTGAAAGACTTTTCTGTAGAGAGCCAATCCTGCTTTACTTTCCACATAAGAAATCTTTCTCCGAAGCTATTCTGAAGCACAGCGATATGGATAACGATTAGTTGCACGGAAAGGCGAATGCTGCCTCTCACGTCCTTCATCAGTGTGTACGGGTCAAAGGCGACCATAACACATTTTAGGACGCGCTTGGGTTGCTGGGTTGAGATATTTACATCAAATGAAATTCTGATGTATGTTATCTGTGTCTTCTGTGGTATACAGACGTTAACCAAACGCCAACACGGGTTTCCACATCTGTAGATTCATGAGGCCTCCTAATTCGAATCATTCCGACGTCTTTGTTGCTTTTTCGCCATCAATCCATTGGGAGCCAAATTTAGACGCACACTGTAGCTTGGGCGTACCACTATTAAGCCAGACATTTCGCTCCAGAGTTCTTCAAAACGAAAATCGCCAGTCATACATTTCGTGCCAGCAGCAAAATTGTTCTTCTTTCTCTTGAATCCAAATCCAAATGACAGACATTACGAGCTGACCGCGTAATGCTAGAATTCCAGACAATTCCGCTAGAAGCCACTTCCGAGAAAGAAACAGAGAAATTATCACAAGCGAAATTCTGGAAAAGGTTATAACCGTGGTTTCCATAGGAAGAAGGGCTGATATGATAGGTTTACAGGGGGGGGGGCACCATTATGCACCATTTCCAGAAAGCTAGAGTCAACTTCTGACAGGTCGGACATGTAAGCCAGTCTAGTGGGTGGAAGGAGGGGCGGTCGAGGGCAGTCTTTTACTTATGCGTGGCAAGCTGACTAGTTTCAAGTATCACACTAGTTACGACGAAGCTGCATCATCATGCCTTCTAACCGGCAATAGACCGAGCGGCTACTCAACAGCAGAAAGAAGAAAGCAAGAGTGTGGACTGCAATGCATAGAGTTATTTGTCTATCCTATCACTCCCACTCTGACCAAGCCAGGACGTTGCGTTTGTTTATAACCAGCTACATCACACTTGCAATCCACTAGAAAACAGACCGCTTCTCTCTTAGACTGGCCTACACTTCTGCTATTGCAATCCGGTATCGTAGTATGAGGCAGTGAACCTTGTGTAGGCAATATACACATTCAATTATTCTACAGCAGGGAAGTGCCTCCTCCTTTTCAACATCAGCCCACTACTTGCTTGCCAATGATTTGGCTTCCGGCGCCCTTGACTGCGTACCTTAAAGGCAAAGTTCGGGCTCAGACCCACTTAATGAGCCTTTACGGTGGCTAGAAGCGCTAGGCACGCAAGTGTATGGGTCGCGTCACTTCCCTACTTCGAAAACCGTTATTTAGACGCTAGGCTCTAAGAACTTTGACACGCTCCACCTGCTGCGACACGCTCCGCCCACCGCTCGATATCTTGACTGCGTCGGAATGTTGATCTGCTATGCTCTCTCTACTTAGACTTCTCTAGCGCTCTCCGCGCTCACATTATCTCTCATCTCCCTGCCGGCCTTTTGAACTTCTCCGCACCGTAGAGGAAATGGCTCGTATTTCCTAAGCATTTCACGATTTCTTTTTCTCTTTTCTGCACTGGCGGTCCACTACCTACCCCTACTTTCACATTTAAGTGGAATTAACTCATAATTCAATCCTGAATCTTGCCTTTAAAGCAAGTCACTGATATCGATGAAACAAAGTAGTCACTTTCTTGAAGCCCAGTACCACGCCTGCAGACCACCTGTAGTCGAGTCCTCGCATTGCAGCCTATTGGCTGTTCTTCCGACACGATGGAGCCATAATCGTACTACCTCCTAGATTGCAATTTCTCATCTTAGTTTCGCTCTCTTCAATTTTTTGACTAAATCCATTCTCTAAAGTATCTTCATATCGGCATCTTTTCATCGTGAAGATAATGTCTTATTTGCAGACGGATGACTGTAAGACTGCTTGCTCGTCTTCCTCGAAACCGGTGAGGGTTACCTTTACCGATAATTTGTTCGAAATGTCCTCCTTTATCTCGAAGAAATTTTCGCCGATTTTGACATTCAATTCAACAATTAGAATCGGTTCAAATCACGCATCTTTAATCGAAACAAAATCTATTACAACGCCCATACCATTGCTCATAAGAACAGAGTTAAATTGATCCGGATCTGAAAGTGCTGGAGTTCTGTAGGCGAATAACTCGGCGAAGGTCGTTCAATCATCATGTTGGGTTTCAATGCGACATCTCTATAAGGAGACCTTCCAGATATGTATTATAGATGGAGGGTGACAGTTGAAAGGCAGATTGTCCAATTATTACAGTGCGCAAGCTCAGTATAGATCACAACTTTTACGCCTCGTAGAAGGCCAGATGAGTGACCACATAATGACTTCGAACCGTCGGTTGAGCCATATCAGTTACGCCTAATGAATATAGGTAGTTCAAAAGCTCATGCAGATTTGGTTTTGTCGAACCATCAGCTGATATTTGTCCGATCTCCGATTTAAGACCTTCATCCTACCCTTCTTCGAGCTTTCAACAGTGCGTGGAAGACAGTTTGAATCGCGACCGCACAGAGTATTTTTTAGTTTTCAATCAAATGCTCACGTCACTATCGAAATCTCTTCCCGCAGATTTCGAGAAGTTGGGGAAACGAGAAAGCTAGGCAGCAGTCGGGGTATGTTCTAGTCAAAACCTAAAAAAGTCGCCTCAGCTTCAAAAAAAACAGACAACCATTTGCGCGTCCCACAATACTCATATGACATATTAGCCAGTTTTCTCGAAAGCTACCCGAATAGCAATCTGAAAAGTGAGCTTACGAAACGACGGAAATTGCCCAATAGTCCAATTACTTGATATCAATGTGGCAACTTCGACTTTTACTTTCTATGTTATTTGCTGTACCAGTTTAGCTCCGCCCGCTACCGCGCGCATTGATAGAACTGACAATCGATGAAGCTTTAGGTTTCACCGCTAAATTATAGCTGCTTCGTTAAATGTATTACTGTCCGTTGCATAGGCTGCCCATCTTGGCTGTATCTCACTGTTTGATAAGCGCAGTGAAGTGCACAGCTAAAGTGATGATGTAAACAACCACTATGCGTCGAGTATCGAGGTAATTTAGCGGTCGAATATCTCAAAACGGAATGCCTAGTATTCATTATCATATTTATTCGAGCATCCCATTCATCCTCAAGAACTCTAGAAGGTGTAGCGGTCGAAAGGTGTTTGAGTTTACAATTACAACGCTGATGAAATGATATTGAAATGAAAGGCATTATCTACAATCTGCTCTCTATTTTCTATTTCAAGTGCTCTCTACGTTCGTACGCATATCGTTACTATCAGTCCTCATCAGTCGTTATCACTTTTGACCCCCACCAAATATGTTTGCGTCCCACCCCCTATATCATGTCCCAAAATCAGCTCCTGACGACTGCTGCGAAGCGCACATGAATTTCGTGAAATTTGTGTTTCAGCGCCTCGTATCTACTCTTATCAGTCGTTATCACTTGTGACCCCCACCAAATATGTTCCCGTCCCACCCCCTATATCATGCCCCAAAATCAGCTCCTGACGACTGCTGCGAAGCGCACTATGAATTTCGCGACACTTGCGTTCTAGCGCCTTTTATCAGCCCTTATCAGTTGTTATCACTTTCTGTACCCCACCAAATATGTTCCCGTCCCACCCCCTATATCATATCTTGAAACCAACTCTTGATGACCACTGGACAATTCGATCAGACAGACCAACACACACCACACAATAGACACCACGCACAACCGCTTAAGCCAATTATATATAGTAGGATTCGCGAAAAAATGAAAATCGTACGGTTTTATAGCTCTACGTTTCAGACTTGAAAACGCCAAAGGCAGACACCAACCCGCCGTCTATGGAGCCTCACCAGCCTACCGAAAAGCACTCCACATTGTTGAAAAAAAGCTCTGTAGACAAAAACCTCATAAACGCGATGCTTTTTGATGTATACTTCGAACGTAATGATCCCCTCCGTAGTAGCTTTAATATCTTCATCCCTCCACAACGGATAGTGAGAAAACACGTGCATTGCACGCTCCCAGGAATATCAGTCGCTCATATTTTTCTGCTATATCATGCAGTCTGATCCCGTTCGTTGCACTAAGCGTTTCTATCTAATCAATCTACCCATTAAATTACCTCCTACCTTCTCCCTTTCCACCAACAAATACGCTCCACCAGGGCATGGGTATATCCCAGCAGATAACGGCTATAATTTCCCCAGAATCCCCGAACGTGTCCATCATACTGAACGTGACCATTTACCCCCTTTTGAGGACAATACGGGCTTAACCAGCTACTCTATCTATTCTTACCTCGACCATCGCCCTGCACCGCCCCATGAAAATGCAGGGAAATAGTGTCTTTCTTGATTACGCTGAACACGAGCGTTACTCTTCAGGAAAAGATCGATAAAAAGGTGACCAAATCGGTGAAAAGAATATTCGCCAAATCCCTCAGCAAGCATGCGTAACGTTTTAGCTGGCTATGCTCTGCTTGCAGCGTCATGTACCTTGTCATACTGGACCTACTTAATGAAAAAAACGCGAGGGAGAAAGTGAAGAAAAATGACCATAACTTTTTCATAACCACCTCAATCAATCATCAACACTGTTTGAAAAATCTCTATTGTCTGCTATCAGCGGCGCTCCCGAAGTTCTCGGTTGCCCTTACAAATGACGAGTGCTACCCACGATGGCTCGGGCACGGCGGTGGGCTTTCAGCTGAACTCACGAGACTATTTGATCACTAAGGCCTTTAATTGCTGGGAGGGGTAGCTAAGACCGCTTCCAACTGCCTTCCACTTCAACCATTCTCAGATATCGTAGCCCGCCATCTTGCCTCCACGCATAGCCCTCGCCGTCGTGGCTGCCATTTGAGAAGTATTATAACGTGGATGGTGTCACAGTATGTATGAAATAGGTGAATACAGAGTTCTTCTGAGAGGAATCAGGAAGGCTGAAGTAGCAAAAGCGATGATTACATTCATAATGGAGTTCCTAACATTGATTCGAATTATTAAATATTAATACTTCATTCCTTTCAGGTGGGACGATGTGCTTGCTCAAGCTCCTCCCTTAAACGAGTGTGCATCTGAGCCGCAGCATGGTAAGTATCTGTTACACGATGATGGGCAGTCTCTCTAAAGGCATGGTCTGCTTTGGGAATGCGAATCTCCATGGGCGGGGCAGATCCAATTCCATGGTCACCTGCCCTTTAGGAGACCCATCAAGGGATAGGTCGCGTTTGTGGTTTTCAAGAGTGAGTATTGTCGTTCAAAATGGGCGTCTATGTCTATGTCGTGTCCTCCGCCCCATCCCTGCCCCCTGCCCCTGTCCCCGTCCCCTTCCAATAGATGGGCCTCTAGAGGTGGAAGTATGTCAATCCATATTACGTTTACCTGTACTGAATCAGAGAGGTTCACTTCACGACCGCCTGCAAGGTGTTGCGCTTATTCTGAGGTTTTAACGCAGCTGTTGACCTTGTTCATGCCAGCCTTGCAGGGGTGTGCTGACTGCACAGAGCTTATTCCGCATAACCCTTCCGGTGCAAGCCATTTCTATATTACCAGGTTGGTCCCCCGTCAACCGCCGGGACCTTCTTTCCCTGCGTACGCTTTACGTCTTAGAATGACATGTTAAAACCTAACCGCACCTGGGTCTGTTGGTGATTGGTTTTCCGCCTCCCCTCCCCAAACACCCTTCCCCTCCCTCCACTGCCCTCCAGCTGCCACTGCAGCACCATGTGGAATGAACGGAAGTGTGCTAAGCAGGTGTTTATATAGCCCTAAGAGTGTTATCACAATATCCCATTACAAAACATTGATATCTCAAATCCTGTAAGCTACCCGATTTGTTAGCGGTTTGTTTATCCCATGAGCTTCCTTCTCACTCACTTCATTTTGCGGACGGACACACATACATACATACATACACACAGACATACATACAAACCGACACACCAAGTTAGCAGTTTATAAAATAGGATTTCAAAAATGACGCTCTCAAAATACGGGGCATTGTGGTGTCAATGCATTTGGATCCGCGTAAAACATATCTCTTCCAAGAATGAACCAAGCCTCGTGCGGGGGAGG